CATGTCCATAAGTTATCGGCAACATAGACAAATCAGCGGAAAAGCTGTCGCTCGCACGGACAAAAAGTGACTCAAAACACAAAAAGTGGGGGAGGGAGCTTTCGCTCCGAAACCGAATTCGGAGGTTCAAAATGCGAAGGTACGAAAAAAATTGCATTATCTCGGCTGCTAATGGACCAATTTCGATCTTTTTTATAATCCGATGTCTCGCGAGCCAAGGAATTCGAATATGCCTACCGTCTAATTTGCACATATTTTGTTATAAACAAAGTTTATTGTTTATGCATTAAATATACTGTATATTTTACTCTATGCTATTGCATTTTTTCNGCCAACTGTCTAATTTGCACATATTTTGTTATAAACAAAGTTTATTATTTATGCATTAAATACACTGTATATTTTACCCTATGCTATTGCATTTTTTCAATGAATAAATTTGTTTACGTATATATTTCAACACTCTGAATATGAATGTATTTAGTTATAATTATTACAATTATTTAAATAATTTTTGTTTAAACAAAAAAAAATTATTTGGATATGAATTTTTTTGTTAAATACAGATAAAATTAAGAAAAAATAGTACTTTAAAATTGTAATTTAAAAAAAAATACTTAATTGCAAATTGATAAATGTAATCTAATTGTTAAAAAATAAAAAAAAGAGTGTTAACTTTAAAAATTTACTGTGGCTGTCCTAATCAATTGATTTAAATTTTTCAAAAAACCATTTGAAAGGATGAGCGGTCTTTTCTATGCGAAAAAATTTTCAAGTATCTAGACGCTTGATTTGAGGCTGTGCAACATTTTGAAAATTCGAAAATTTTTTTCAAAAAATTATTTTGCGAAAACTATATAACCGATTTTAATAAAATTTGGTATTTGGTGTGTTGTTTTAATATACCCTAAAGTTTTTTTTTATCAAAATTAGAATGCCCTCGGAGCAATTAAAATATTTTTAAAAAATTATCCAATAAACTTGATTATATAATTCATTAGAAATTTAGCCAATAGCAATTACAAATTTTACGTAGTTACTATGTATTGATAAGCGATTATACTCTTGACGACGTGGTATAACCGTTTTGGTTTTCCCCTCTTCCAACAATGTGAACTATGTCATGGTAACGTTAGTTTCAACATTTGTCAATAAACGTCAAAAAAAAAAATGGAACGCTTCGGTTCAAGCTTTGAATTATATAATCGTATCGAATACCACTCGAGCAAACGAAAATATTCGATTATACTAACCTCCTCACTCGACGTATATCCTTAAAACACCACTCCAGTTACGCTGTCGTGGTGTTTCGCAGAATACGTCTCGTGACTCGGAAGTATAATCGAATATTTTCTATGCTCTTGTGATATTATAACTGATTATTTTTCCCTTTTTTCATCAATTATTGCTATTTTGCAACATCAGTAATAAATTTAAACATTTTTAACTTGCAGTATATTGTGCAAAATTAATACTAAAACTTTTTTCCTGTTCAATATTCTTCCACGATGCATAGGTTTCAAGATATAAGTACTAGACTCAGATAAAATAGGTATTTTTTTAATTTTTTAAACATTTTTGCAATTTTGAAAATGTTCCGGACCTCGCCCAGATTTAAGGATCTACACTATTATTATGGGAGTTGTATTGAAGTTAATCCAGAAAAAATTTGCTTGCCCCTTCTCACATACACCTCAAGACAGATCCGCCCACCCTGGTCTATGAGAACAAGATTGTAAATGTCTTGGCGTTATTGGTCATTTGCTAGAACCAGCTACAAATGCGCACATTTAATCTTATTGTAGCTGACCACGAACCCTTTATACTTAAGTATACTTAGTTAAATCATCATCTACTAAATTCCAAATTTCCTATTCGGCATTGACAATATCGTCCTCGATAGGATTGTAACTGTCTTTTGGTGGTGCTTTTTGATCCAGTGTAACACAAACCTTGCTGCACTTTTCGAACAGAAGCTGAAGCCAACAATCCATTGCATATTCTATTTTATTTAGATAGAAGCCATATACCTTAAAATAAAACACCTTTAGAGGTGTTTTATTTTAAGTACAATTCTTTTGCAGGTATTTGGACCTTCAAAGGATGTTTTGAAAGAATTAAATTAAAATAATATGTTATCATTTGTATCTCTAATTGAATTGCGTATCACAAAATAATAAATTTGTTCTCAGTTTTTTAAATAGCGCATTAAAAACATTAAACTTCTTTTACATAACCAACATCATTTGCTATAATCATTGTCATTTTATTTTGTCAACATTTGTCAGTATTTTGCATCGTAAGTATTTGCCAGTTCCGCTATTAATTCTGCACAAAAACTATTTGCTTCAATCATAAACAAAGAGAAAAATAACTAATAACCTCATAGACCGCAAATGGAACTTTTTCTTCAATACGTGTACACATAGTTATTTTAAGATCAGCAAGCAAAACACAATTAGATGACAGACATTTGCAATATTTATTATTGATATCAAAATTATAATAATCCTCGAACGGATAATTTGAGCAGACAGGCTTTAGATTATAGTTTTGTATTCTCAGAGTACTATGCCATTTCCAAGGTCGTTCGAGTAAAGCAGTTTGGCAAGATGCCGACATCAACAGGTCTTGGACGACCTCCAGGGTCTTTTTGATCTAATGCTACTTGATTTGTGCCAAGAGTTCACTTGGACAGAGAGATTACATCTAGGTAGGATTGGGGCCAATTTACTTGGATCAAAATCGTGCGCTGATAAGGTTTAAAATAGCACACAAAAATAATGACAAAAAAACTATTAAATATATTGTTTAAGACATAAGAAAATACAATTATAAAGAATATGGCATTTTTTTAATATTTCAAGGAGTATATTTCAAAAATTCAATCATATCCCCGCCTAAATATCCTTTTTATATATTTTTAATTTATTTAAAATACGCATGTCAGAATAAAATAAATACTGCACACAAATTATTGTCAGATTCCTCGAAGATTGAGACGTAACATTTAAAATAAGTGTGGATGAGATATAATTATACATAAATTATTATGGATGCTCTGACGTATATATAGTTCGGATGTACCAAGTGATTTTCTTTTGTTCAGAAATCTAAAAAATTTATTTATGGAAAATAGTGACCAAATTGGAGCGTTCTACAAATACAATAGCTCGTCTCACCTAAAGAAAAACGTTAACATATGATGGTGACTATTAAGAAAAATAAATTGATATGTAATTATAAAAACAATATTTTCCCAATTGGATAAATAAACTCCTGGAAAAAAATTAACACGCTACTTTAATAAACTAATAAATGAAATGAATATTAAGCTAAATTATAAAGAAAACTTACAAATATGAGTTTATATAATTACTTGAGAAAGATCATTAAATACTTTTTTGTTGAATATTAATTAGATATGCAAATGATAATCGAAATAAAAAACATTTAAGAAATCGAAACCAATAGAAATAATGGATCCAATGTGACGTTAGTACCTGGTAGGTCCTCCTCTGCCCCTAATTACTGCATTCATACGCCTTGGCGTGCTAGCAATTAAATTTTCAATGATATTCTGGGGAATATTCTCCCATTCTTCAGTAACAGTAACCACCAGTTGATTGTGGTTGACAGGTGGAAGTTTACGACCTCGGACCTTCTGTTTAGGATGGTCCTATAAATACTCAATAGGGTTGAGGTCGGGACCGTAAGGTGGCCATTCCGTTAACGGAATATTAACAGCATGCAGGTGGTCAATAACCTGTCCAGCTATGTGGGGACGTGCATTGTCTTGCATGAAAAAAAATTACGACCCACAAAAAATCAAATGACATTACGATGTTTTCAAGGTAATTATTCGCATTCAAAGATACGATAGGGATCAACTCTGTACGAGCGTCGAAGCAGATCTCCCCCCACCTCCGAAACATTTACAGAGTCACCACCAAACAGAACCTTTGGAGAAATATTGCAACTTGCAAATCTCTCTCCTTCCCTTCACCAGACACGCTCAGATCCATCGGCTGATTTTAAGCTAATCCTCGGTTCGTCAGAGAATAAAACCTTCTTCCAATCATTAATAGATCAATATTGATGATTTCTGAGTTCAACGCTACCTGGTAGGTACGTAATGTTTTTTTGCCGGTATCCTGCTCTTTTATTCCCCTTAATTTAAACGCCTTCTAATTTGTTCGAGACGATATTTCAACATTACGTATCGAATATCCCTCATCAAGCAGAATTGTTGACCGTACTGCTTCCTCCACCGATAAATTTCTATTGTGATTTTTCTACTTTTAAACACTTCTAAATAAACATTAAAACACGTATGTGATGAGATAGATTTTATATCAATTGGGATCCAACGTGATTAATTGACGTTCGTAATTTTAAAACAAAACAGTAAGTACTTGAAATGTCAAAGGAGGTCCAAAGCCTACTTGTAAATCAGTTAGTAGACTGAAAGTAATCATTATATCTGAATGTTTCTAAAAAATGTTAGTGGTACGTTAATTTTGTCCAGGAGTTTAGTTTTTGTTTAAAACCAAAACACACCTAAATACTGAATAACTCTCGTTTATCTTCGGCTAATACACTAATTAAATTTTCAATTTACTTTATCTTTAAAACTTATTCCTGCAAAGTTTGTTGAAATGAGATACCTCGCTTGGTTACACTGACGACGAATTAGGTATAAGTTTTCAACGCCTCTTCACTAAGTGTATGTAAATTTATTTATGGAATTTTTAAAATAAATATATATATGTATAGGAATTTATAAAATCAATCCAAAATAATATGTATTTAGCTGAGAGTATCCACTACGGAATTACGGCTCAAATTATAATTCGTCGCAATTTATGAGGGGCTTTATAATACACATTTAAGTTTAAAACCATGAATACATGGCTAACAAAATATGCAAAAAAACTGAAACAAATTATTACTATAACAACTAATAACAATATATTATTGTAAATTTCCTGTTGTTGCAGATACAAGAGAGACTGGTTTCGTGAATGCGATTATAGCTGCCGGGATAACCTTCCAGGTTACAAGGGCGTGCACGAAAGGAGAGCAGATTGGTTGTTCCTGTGATAAAAGAAAAAAGAGAAAGCAGAAGAAAAAAGGCCCACCACTACCAGAAGGCGAATGGGAATGGGATGGTTGCGGCGAAAATATAGAATTCGGTATCAAGAAATCGAAGGACTTCTTAGATACGAGATATAAGAAGAGAAGTGATATGAAAACCTTAGTGAAATTACATAATTATGTTGCCGGAAGGCTGGTAAGTATCCTTAATTGATTTTATATTAATTTTTAAGATTTGATAATTGCAAACATGTACCGAATTATGGTGGGCACAAAGTCATAGATATTTTTAGCTCGATTTGCAGACTTTCGTTCCGATCTGTTGCTATATTGTCTATTTGGTCTTCTTGGTCGAATGAGAGTTTCTTCATCTCAAGAAATCTAAACCAACGACGTGGAAACCAAAACGGAGGTTATTTAATTATGAAAAGATTCTTTGATTTTGATATATTACAAAAACTTTTTCTCTTTTTTGTTCATTCAATTTTGTTTTGGCACCATTTAGGCCTATTATGATTAATTTTAATGATATTTATTTGTTCAGTTTACCATAAATAAAGAATTTTTAAAGTGATTAAAATAAGATTTCTACGATCGGGTGCCCACCTTAACGGAAACACTCTGTAGATACTACATTTTGCCTAAATGGCAGATATACTCACCAGAAGTATAGTCTAAACTCTACAGGGTGTTCCACCTAAGAGGGATTCTTCTGTAACTCTGCAATTGTAAAATTTATAAAAAAAATATGGTTTTAATAAAAGTTGCCTGGGCCTTTATTCTTGAATTATATGGAGTAGAAGGAACTCATTAATCGGTATTCTTGAATGGTGTTCTATCGAGTAATGATAGAAGAATTGTTTCCTATTTCTTCTACTGACATTTTCGGGGGAACAGGCAGGGATTATTAAACATAACCCTATATTTTTTACATGTTTCACAAATTACGAATTCAGCAATATGTCTGTCATATCTCTAGTTACTGTTTGGTGATGATATTCTTCGAGAACTTTGAGGGAATGTTCGTATAATTTGTGTTTACTTGAAGGATTGTACAGTACTCGAATAAAATAATAATAGAATATAATTGATCTACCTAAAATAGTATTAAAATATTTGTAAGTTCTTCCCAGTTAGCCCTCATTTTGTCTCTCTAGTGTAGCTGGGTGTTAACTTTCCAGTGTACATTTGTTTTTTACCCTCAATATAAAGAGTCTCATCGGGTTTCCACTTGAAACCTACACTGGCGTGTTTTTTAACAATGGTGTCTTCAATGTGTTGCTTGTTGATAGAAATAACTTTTGACCAATTATCAGAGCTCATTTGCTCATTTAAAAAAAATGGGGTTGCAACCCTTAACTTCAAAATCATTTTTCTATAAAACTATGTTAGATATTTGAATAAATCCAACGGCATATGAAAGCTACTGATAAGAATTATCTTGCATATTTTTTTCATAGTTTTTCAACTATATAAACAGTAAGAACAGTTTTTTGTGGCTATTTCTCGAGATACACTAACCAAAAAAATCACGTATAATCAGTGAGTCTTAAGCTACAATGCATAGCAGTTACATAGATCTGCGATGGGTGGATCATATTCAAAATAATCATTTTATGTTGCTAGGTACAGTATTGTAAACTGATACTTGTTAGAACTTTAGAATATACCACGACAGTGATGTGTGAGATCTTTGTGAAGTTGCAATATTTGTGTAAGTTTTAACTGACGTATTACACTTACAGATGTTATATAAAAAGATATCGGTATCCGATTTTGTCATAATTAGTCTGAAAATTAAATCTTTATAGT